GATTATCAGAATCTTGAGTGGCCAAACTTAGAACGTGTTGCACTAGACCTTGAGTGTGCTGTGGTCGTTTTAGGAACAGTTTTACAACGGCTGTTAGTAACTGAAGCTGTACTTGAGCGTTTTCATCGGCAAATCCTTCCAGGAAACTGTCCAAGAGTTCGTCAGCGTTATCGATTCGTTCGGCGTATTCACCGATAATCCATACCATTGAGGCACGAGCTTCTGGTTCGTCCAGTGTATCGAGATTTTCGCACAATGTACTGATGATACTTTCATATTTGTTTGGATATTTTCTAGAAAAGCAATAAATATTTTTCATAAATATAGTGACAAAACAGAAGAATGTTTGGCGAAACCTGGAATTACGGGTGTACACGGTTGGTTACAGAGTAATTTCACTAAAAGAAGGCGAGCCATTAAAATTGAAAGTTCTATCTCTACCAAGAGATCGAGTAGAAGATTATAAGAAATACATGACGGAACTTCAAGGGCACATTTTTCACTGGGTTCACTATCATGAAGACGTTAAAAACTGGGGCCGAAAATGCAACATCTGTGCTACCAGTAAAGGCCCTAAACTAAGATCTCGGGGACCCATGAAACAGTACAACGCCGGTCTCCTATTTGAAAGAATAGCGATAGATGTTGCCGGACCGTTCTCTGAGTCAGAGCGTGGTAACAAATACATTTTGGTTATCATGGATTACTTCAGTAAATGGCCAGAAGTTTTCGCTATTCCCAATCAAGAAGCCATCACTATTGCCCAGGTGCTAGTGTATGAAGTTTTCAGTCGTCACGGTGTGCCACTAGAGTTGCATTCAGATCAGGGACTGAACTTCGAATCTGCCATCTTTAAGAAAATTTGGACCACACCAAAAAAAGGACCACACCTTTACATCCACAGTCTGCTGGCATGGTAGAACGATTCAATAAGACCATAGAGGAACACCTGACAAAAGTGGTCGCAAAGAACCAGCGAGATTCGGACAAACATTTGCCTCTATTTTAAATGGCTTACAGAGTTCACGAGTCAACAGGTGAAAGTCTAGCTAGAATCGTTTTTGGAAGGGAACTCAGGTTACCTTGCAATATGATGTTTGGAATACCTGAAGAAGAACGAAAAGAAATTCGAGAATATGTCGACGAAGTAAGGGCAGGACTTCTGGGGATACATGATTTAGCTCCGGAGCATATTCAGCTAACCAGTGACCGAATGAAGACCAAATACAACTTGAAAGCCAATTAAGCCAGATTTCAAGAAGGTGATTAAGTGTGGAAGGATCCTACAGAATAATCAAGAAGATTAATGATTTGGTTTATCGAGTTCAGCAATACACCAGGAGTAAAATGAAAGTTGCACATTTGGACAGATTAACAAAATATCATGGGCGCGAAGTTTATCCGGACCTTAAGAGGAGGGCAGTGTCGCGAGAATCTGGCGGAGGCGCCAGAGTGTACAGAATTGGACAGCGGATTCTAGATTTTACAGTGCTATTCGGGGAAAAAGGGCTGTCGCGTTTATTCTGGATTTCACAAGAATAGATGTCAGATTATATAAAGGCCGGTATTAGTTAGTAGTATTTAAGTTTAGGATTGGCTGTGATACAGTTTAGATAGTGATTATTGTGAGAGTTCAGTTGTTTGAGTTAATTAGTGAAGTAACTAGTATCAGAGTGTGTAGTATCGTGGAATAAATTATTGTTTTGTTAATTGGACTTTGATTTTGGAATAAACGAACCCAAGATTTCGGTCACCCAGCCCAGAGCCGTGACATTGTAATGTATTTGCTGAACAATTCCACTTTGTCTTTACCAGAGAAAATCAGCTCTTCAGGACCCTAAAACCTACTCCAGCCCAGGACCTGACGGAATACTGGCAGTATTCTTGAAAAAATGTGGCAACGTGCTATTGCTGCTGCTAGCCAAGCTGTTCCAAAACTCAATCAACGAGGGTACCCTACCTGACATGTGGAAGCAAGCAATTATCATCCCAATTTACAAGGGTGGAGATAAATACGACCCCGCCAACTACCGGCCAATCAGCCAAGGAAACTACAGCATTCGTCCTAGAAAACAACATAATTCCAGCATCACAGCACAGCTTTTTACCAAAGAGATTGACCAAAGAAAACCAGTGGATGTAATTTACCTTGATTTTCAAAAAGCCTTTGATACAGTTCCACACAAACGACTGTTACAAGCTGAATCACTTCGGAATAAGAGGGAACTATTCACGGTGGAGCAACTCCTTTCTAAGGCATAGAGAATTCCATGTTAGAGCAAACGGAGCATAGTCTGATCGTCATCCAGTTATCAGCGAAGTTCCTCAAGGCTCGGTGTTGGCCTCACTGTTCTTTATAATCTTCATCTCGGATTTAACTCCCCTTATTGAAACAAACGCCGAGTCATTCGCAGATGACAAGAAACTTTACCGCAACCCACTAATGCAAGTCCAGCATTTAAAAAATGACATAAACACCATACAAACGTGGCCAAACACCTGGCTGCTGAAGCTAAATGAAAGTAAGTGTCCAGTTCTACATATTGGTCGAAATAACCCAAAAAACCACTACCAAATAAACAATGTTGACCTAAGGGAAGTATAAGAACACAAAGATCTTGGTGTGTACATCACAAATGATCTCAAATGAGGAACACACGTATCCAAAACTGTTGAAAAAGTCAATCAGCTCATTTAGCTAATGAGACAAGCATTCGAAAACAAGTCCATTAACATGATTAAAAAGCTTTACATAACTTACATCAGACCAAGACTGGAATATGGCTACACTGTTCTTCTGGAACGCGTCCAACGCAGAATAACCAAAATTCCATCGGAACTTCGTAATGTACCATACGAATTGAGACTACAGAGATTTAACCTCACAACATTGAATGAAAGAAAAGCAAGGGACATCATCAAAAGCTGAGAAAGGAAAAATCTGCTCTTCTTGGAAGGAAAAACTTTTTAAGTAATAGAGTGGTATACAAATGGAACTCACTGAGTGCGGAAACTGTAAGTGTATCTACCAAAAACAGTTTCAAAAACAAACTACAAAAAAAAATAGATAAAAATTTAACAAGCCTCCTCAACACACTGGTAGTACACTACCTGTAACGAAAAAGTGATAACAAAATCAAAATTTTTAGAGACTTTGTGGAACAATTACAAGCAATAGACTCATCGGTGTTTCATCGCTTCCTATTGCTCAATGGATAATAATAATAATAATAATTTTTTGTCTTGTCAGGTGTACCGTAAGGAGGATACTTGTCTCCTTTAGTTTAAGATTTTTATTAATGACAGTGCCCTAATACGGTATTCATGATGTATGTTCATTCTCTTGGCCAATGACTTATGACTTATTTTTTTCTGAAGTTATTCATAATATGGAAGATTGCCATATCTTGTTAGATCAAATTAATGAATTCTCCAACTGGTGTGATGTAAATCTTATCAGTAAATGTGAACTGCTGGGACTGGCAATCGGCTGATACGAGCCAGAATGAACTTGTGCATCCCACCAAAGCACTGATGTCAAAAAACGCAGTTCAAGCGCAAATTTAACATAGAACGCCTTCAAGACGATCAAATCAGGACAAACTCCTAAGAGTTGAGAAGTTGAAAAATATTGAAGAATGCAATAACATCTGCCTTGGAAGAAACGGTCGGCTACATACAAAAGACTGGTTTGATGAGAAAGAAACTAAAATTTAAGACCCTATAGAAATAAAAAGAAAGGCACATAATGAATAGAGGAGCGACCCCAGCTCGACTGTAAAAAAAGGCAATACCAACAAGCAAATGCAAAAGTTCAAATGCAAACGCGAGCATTAAAGAACCAATGGGCCTTCTTAGATGGTATACAGACAAACCCTTGTGATCCAAAGATGGCACAAGACTGCTTAAAGACAGTTCTTCCATTGATTCTTGTTGGAAGGAACACTTTCAGGATCTACTTAATAAAGAATCAGAATTTAACACATAATGACATCTTCAACAAAATGCCACAGAAACCAATAAAACAAGAACTGAGGTAGGTTTCCAGATTAGAGGAGGTTGAGAAGGCAATCAGACAACTGGAGAACAATAAGTCATTTGGTAGACGGCATTCCTGCTGAAATTTTTAAGCAAGAAGGCCCCACAAGTGCCCAAATCCTAATAAGTAAATTATGGATTGCTAAGACTTAGAAATGCCTCCATATTCGCCATTTTCAAAAAGGCAGACAAGAGTCAATATGGAATCAACAGAGGAATATCTTTACTTTCTGTTGTGGGAAAGATACTTGCCAGGATATTATCAAATTGTCTAATCCCAAATGCCGCAGAGAACTTCCAAGAGACGCAGTATGGCTTAAGACCCAACCAATATACAGAGAATATTGGCAAAGGTTGGGTGTTGGGTGTCCGCAAAAGTACATCCAGATACACCGCCTGGTCCATGATAATACGAATGCAACCGTCCTGAACAATGATGGACAAGGAGGGTCATTTCAAATAACTACAAGCGTTAAACAGGGCTGTGTTATTGCACCCATTTTATTTTCTCCATAGGAAAATCTGACCCAATGCAACAAAATTAAATGGGAAAACAATTAGAGTACATAGAATAGAGAAAACTTAGTCCCTACTTTCTCATAGGTACTGTTTGTTCTGGTAAGTTTTTGGTCTTATTTGATGTGAATTAATTGTGGCCTGAGCACAATATTAAAGTGCTGGATCTAGGATTCTGTTAACTGAATCTTTGTATAGTTTTTTCAGACTGCATAATGCAATACACAATTCCGAACTTCAAATCATCATAATCCATAGAAAATTCATTCAAATATATAAATTCTCCGGAGAGCCAACAGAAACAGCGAACAAAGGGACAAATAAATCCTTTCATAACTAAAAGCCTCCTACAATCGAGCGTTCTCTTTCTAACACGTTGGCTTTGGTAGAAAATGCCACTTCAATTATTATCAATAGCCAACTTCAGGTTGCAGTGTCGCCACGCCATCATAAAAATAAAAACGTCAACAAAGTTAATTAACCTAAATTAAAATTTATCCGGCCCTGAAAAATATAGTTTAAAAAATAAATATTTGGAAAATTAAAAATTTAAAGGGGGCAATAAACTACAAATTAAACAATTAAAGGACCATAACGGAAAGTTTCAAGTGTAAATATAGTTGTTGCGTAGTTTAGTGTTGTGGAAGTCGCCTTATCACTTATCAGTTGTTCCAGTACTATTGTATTACTCATCCAAAACCAAAATGCCTTCGAAAAAAATCGAAAAAATTGACGAAAATGTTTTGGCTCAAAGATTGGCAACATTTAACCCAGAACCTTTAGTTAAACTTGCAAATACTGCCAAGGACAAAGACGAAATCGAAATTTCAGCAATAATTGAAGATGAAAACACCATTGACTTGGCCAAAACTAATTTTTTAAATGTACTAAACAATGAGGACATCAAGAAAGTATGCGAAGGAACTATTAGGAAATACGGTGTTGGAACTTGCGGTCCAAGAGCATTTTACGGTAAGAGTTTACACCTGAATTTGTAAATGTTCAAATACCAAAAAAAAAATTCTAGGTACAACTGATGTTCATTTAGAACTGGAAGAACGCATAGCCCAATTTCTAGGAATGCAAGAATCCATCGTTTACTCTTATGGCTTTTGTGCCATATCCAGTTCGATTGCTGCCTATTGCAAAAAAAGCGATGTCGTATTTACTGACACTAATTGCAATGGTGCTATCGAACAAGGCCTTCTGATGGCTAAATGCAAAGTGGTGCATTTTGATCATCAAAACCCAGAATCTTTCAAGAGAGCAGTCGAAAATATTGTCCAAAATGAAAAGGAAAGTAAAAGAAGAGCCAGGAAATTTTTAGTTGTCGAAGGTGTCTCCTGGAAAACAGGCAAAATTCTGCCATTGGAAGAATTTTTAAAAGTTGCAGAAGATAATAAAATAAGAGTCTTCTTAGAAGAATCATATTCATTTGGTGTTCTTGGAGACAAAGGCCAAGGACTGATGGAACATTTCAACATAGATCCTTGGAGATTGGACATGATTATTGCCACATTGGAGACCGCAATTGGTTCTATTGGGGGATTTTGTGCAGGTTCTCACATGACAATAGAGCACCAACGCCTTTCAGGAAGTGGCTATATCTTCTCTGCTTCTTTGCCCACTTTCCTGGTACAAGCCGGAATTGATTCTTTAAACCTTATCGACTCCACAAAACCTCATCATAATTTAAGAAAACTCTCATTAAATTTCCATGACATGCTTACTGATTTGGGTTATCAGGTACAAAGCGACCCTTTGTGTCCTTTCAAGGTTTTTAATCGTAAAAATTGTCAAAACAAGAAAATTCATGAATATTGTAAGGCTAGAGGGTTACATTTCATTTGGAGGGATGATGATGATTGTTTTGTTATCAATCTAAATGTTGATTTGTTGAATAATGAAAGGAAATATAAGAAAATTGAAGAGGTTTTGAGAGAGGCTATTGATAGTGTATCTAATTAATTAATGTTAACTATTTTTATAATACATATAACTAGTACCTTATGTATACATATTAGAAAAGCATCATGTACCTATACTTTACTTATTGAAAATAAAGGACAGTTTCTTCATCAAATGTTGAATTTACCAAAGATGATTTTATTTTCTGAATTTTTATTCAAATTTCCCAGAGAAATCAAAATAACAGAGATGAAAAAACTTATCCTTAAAATAAGAGCAAAAATTGATTTTATTTTATTGGTACAACCTCTAGTAAATATCAATACATTTTGTTGACCATGACCAGGAATCGTCTACAAAATTAATTGGTGAATTTACATTCAATTTTCTATTTTTGCGACAACAGACTGTTCGCGTCAGGTAAACAGATGGTCCATTATTTAGAGGTGTTAAGATTAAGAAAATCGTGTTGTAAAATTTATAGGTGTTTGTTTTATGGAGGTGTCAGAAAATAATATTTAAATAAAAAAGTTAGAAGTAGACAAGAATAATTCTTACCTGAAGATATCCTTGATCACAACAATAGCCTCCTGCACCACATAATTAACTTTGGTCTGGATCAGATCTAACAAAGTTGATACACAACGCTCTGCAGATGGTTCCACTTTAATGGCACACCTTCCAATGGCTCTCACGGCTTTTCTTACAAAATCAACATCAACTTCTGTAGCATATTCCTTCAACTCACTTAAAACTTGGGCGATATTAGCTTGAGAAGCTAGACGAATCATTATATCAAGTTTTTCCAGTTTTACGTAGATGGGATCATTGTATTTCACAAAGAATACCTACAAGAAATGATATTTTATATAAGATTATGTTTATGAATATTTTATTTACCTTCATTTCGTGTTTTAAAATATCAGGCTTCTTTTGCACAATCAGATTGATGTTTCTTAAAGCAACATATTGAACCTACAAATTAGTCATGATTATTACAATAAATATCCAGAAAACAAGAAAAACTTACCTCTGGTTCAGAACTAAGCAAAGTAACCAAAGGTGGTGCCAATTTTTTACTCAAAGTATTACAAAACTCAACATCTCCTTGTAAAATCTCCATCATTTTAATTAAAACTTTAACAGCTGATAGGACAACAGCAGCATTAGCATGAGCCAATCTTGGTGTGATTCTTTCACAAATACTTTGAGCCTCCCTGTCATCTCTCGGAGTGTAATTGGATAGCGAGTCCAAGATGAACACTTGACCCCATTCAGTGCACTCGTTCAATGCTGTTAGCAGTTTATTAATCGTTGACGTGCTCAATTCAACTAAAGGTTGTCCTGTTGGGCTGCTTTCGTTAATTTCTGATAAAGCAGCCACAGCATTGGCAACCACCATTGGGTTTGAGTCGCTTAGAAGTTCTTTGAGTTGTTCCAGGAATCCTTGATCTTCAACTAAACCTAAAAAAACAGCACTAAGTAATTTGAATGCAAAATTTCATTAGAAAAGTTACCTGAAGAAATGTCATATAATTTAGCGACACAAACAGCAGCAGTTTTTCTAACATAAGGATCCTCGTCCTTCAAGCATTTTCTTAAGGGTTCACAAAGATATTCAGTAATTTTGTCCACTCTGATACAGCCCATAGTTCTCACAGCTAAAGCACGGATCAAGGGGTTTGGGTCTTCACAATCCTATAAGCAATTTTTTGAATTTTGGAAAAAACAAATAAAATTGAAAATGTTACCTTCACAAAAGTATTCACCGCCATAATGGCCATATCAGGTTGAGATTTGGCATAGTTCATCAAGTAAAGATAAACCAATTTTTTGAGTTCCAAATTGTCAGTTTGCATGCAGTTTACTACGTCAGGAAATAGGGCCGATACGTCTTTGCCTACTGTCATTGATGCTATGACCTGCGAATAATACTTTGTTTAAGAAATGTTGGCATATCAATAATAGATAGACATGTTTTGCTATCTCTATATTAGCCTGAGAAGTATTTGACACTGAAAATAAAGCCAAAAAGAAAGGATAATTACAGTAAAGTGTTTTTATTTTGGTGTTTACCACCTCTTGGGATTTGGAACCTGGAATTTGTTATTAATCTTGTAAAACACTGGTAGATTGTAGCTGTGGATTCTTGTCCAGTAATCATGACTCACAATTTTTTTCGACTCCAAAACATACACAGATCGCACATGAAAAACTTCCTTTGAATATTATATAACATTCTTGTAGAGTCTCGGGTAGAGCTTATTTTTTTAAAAAACACTCCAGGTATATAAATTTGAACACAATAATGAAGGTGAGGCACTTCTTCACATGCGACCCCATACAATAATAGATACTATATTTCAACAATGATTCTGTAATAATATTAATAATTTTTATTTAAGATATAAAAATACAATCAATTTCTGATAGTTGTAGTCAATCCGAATATAAACAAGTCCCACTTTAGGTGGCATAATAATAAATTCTCCAAATTTATCATACATTCCTTCAATTTCCCATAAATTCCTTCAAGTTTCCCACATATGCCTCCAAATTCTCTACAAATTCCTCTAAATTCCCCACAGTTTTGGCAAAATATTCCTAGATGGTTTGCTCCTTAAAGGTGAACGATCAGAAGGATATTTTTATTTTTTCCTAAATTTCACGATTAGTTTTCGAGATAATGGTGTTTAAAAGTAAGCTTATTTTGAAAACTAGTAATTTTGACTATCTTTGAGTAGTAAAAGACAGTAAAAGTAGTAGTAGTAGTAGTAGTAGTACTCTACTTTACTGAACTCACTATCGTTTAGAGTTCTCAAGAAAATCGAGTTTGAAGTTTTGGACAAAATGTTGACCAAATTTCAACTTTGAAGCTCAATATCCCGGAAACTTCACTAAAAACCAATTTTGCAGGGCTTATAGAGAACTTAATACTCTTGTTAATGATGCATAATTGTAGGCAATTTTCTCAAATACCTATCATTGGAGATGTGAGCAATCATTCATGTCAAGATTCTAGAAAAAGTTCAGAACCAAAAATTAGATTTCCTTTTTGGATTTTTTTTCTCATCAAAATTTTCAAATGTTACTGATGTTAGAGTGGTTTCTGGCTAATTTGGAAAATTTCACAAGTTACAAAAACCAATTTTGCAGGACTTATAAAGAATTTAATAATCTTTCCAATGATCTATAATAATTGTAACTAAGTTTTCCAAATTTCATCGAAGATATGAGCATAAAAATGTCAAGATTTCAAAAAATTTCCAAAGCCAAAAATGGGATTTCTTTTTCTTATAGAAATTTCCAAATGTACCTAATGTGTAAAGCAATTGTTAAAGAGCAAATATTAGTCATGGTATAAACACGAGACATGCTGATCAAAATAATGTTGTGATGCAAAACCCTAAACACACAGCTGCGCAGAACCATATCTATTCTGTTGGTCCTAAAATTTATACTGATTTAACCAACATTTTTAAAACAAAACCATATTATAAAATTAAGAAACAAATTACAAAATGGTTGATAGATTCTAAGTATGTTATAAGGTACATTATAGTGATGTGACGAATAGTAGTTTGGCCGAATAACCGAATACTGGATATACGCCTGAATATAAACCGAATATTCGGCCAAATACCGAATCGTTATTAAAGCATGTCAGACCTCAAATATTATGGTGAAAGTGAAATAGCCTTGACTTATAAGGACTTTGATCACTCCAATCGCAAAAACGATATTGCAATTGAGTTAGAGGCTTATTTATCGGGTGAAATTTTAGACAAAAACCATTGTCCATATTCTTGGTGTGGAAGAAATACTGTTCAAAATATCCAAAAATGAGCCAGCTTGGGAAGGTCTATTTATAAGCTCCTTCACAAGTACCGTTTACAATGAGCGACTATTCTCAGCAGCTGGAAACCTGTACGAGAAGGAATCGGTTATTGTCAGTGTAATGGAAATATAAATGTGAATGACTAAGACAGAACCTCTGTTCTCATGAGGACACTGCTCCCCTGTTTCGAGAATAGGGGCCCAGAAGTTTCTATATTCATTTTTTTTGTTCGAATTTAATTTAATTAAAATACCTATGTTGAAAAATTCAGTAAAATATCGAAACATGAAATATTTGGTTGTGAAATTCCAATATTCGGCCGAATACCGAATAGCGAAAATAACGCCGAATAGGCCGAATACCGAATAATTATTCGGCTTCGGTCACATCTCTAGTACATTATATAAGATTATCTCTCTTGCTTTAATATTTGGGACTGCTACTTCATGGTCCCTCATAGGTATTTTTATTTATTATCTGACCTCATTTATGTTATTTATATAAAACCCAGTGGGGTTTTTTCAATTGATAAAACCCACCATTATTGGGTTTTTTTGGGTTTTTTAAAAATAGCAAATTTTCAGTTGAAAGAGCGATATTTTCACTGAAAATATCGGGGATTCCCCTATGATTCCCCAATCCCTGGCTGTTGGCGTGGAGGCCTGGGCAGAGACTCCCGTACCATGTGAATTCGACATATGGAATGTGCCGAGCCTATAGAATCCTGTCGATATGTAGAATTCTACATGACACGGAGTCTCTGGGCTGGCCAGCCAAAGGCGCGGTGCAGTGCACTGATGCCAAGTGTAATTATCTAGGTATATCAAGTGGCTTGCTCTATTTTGTAAGGATATTTGATTTTTGCAACAAAAGTCATAGTTTTTGTAATACTTTTGCTAGAGCAGAAACTATAAATCAAATTTTGAAGAAAAAAACGAAACCTCCCGAGAAACCTGAAAAAAACCCAAAAAACCCAAAAAAAACCCGATGAGTTGGACTTTTTCAAAAAAAAAACGGGTTTTTTCCTCGGTTTTTTCCAACCCTGCCATGTTATTGTTCGAGTTATTGTTATTGTATTAACAATTATTGTAACTATTTTTTGCTAAAAATATTTTTTTTTTAAATATATAAAAATATGCAAATCTATTAAGATAGGTATATTATGGGAACAATAGAAAAAAATCGTTGGGCATATTTGACTGACGTAGCCCTCTTTATATCCAAGTTCATGAAAATTATCTGGGGGGCCACCATATATGGGGCCACCCACATCATTCATATATGACTGACATAGAAACAATGGTGGGAAAGCTAAAAACAGTAAAAACAAATAAAAAGATACTATAAACAATATAAGCTCTGTTCCAACCAACATGAGAACCATTCTAGAATGGTAATTTCCATTCGATCAATTCATTTGTCAATTAGAGTAAGCGTTCAAACTTATTGAAAAATAGGTGGGCAACTGGAAATTACGGGTTTTAGAACCGTTCTCATCTCAGCTGGAACAAAGCTTATGGCTATCATTTCAGAGTAAAACATGCGGCTTCGTAGGATATTTTCCCAATATACAAGTGGCATAATGTGTGTTGAAGTGAATTGATGGTGTGGCATGAAGTTAGCACCCCTATTGATGCTTTTTAAAAAAATATTTACTGCAGAACTATAACTGCACACTTTAGAGAACTATAGAACTCTTTCATGATGTAATAAATTACAGACCCATCAGCATTCTGTCTGCGATTCCAAAATTATTTGAGCAGTGCGTGGAAGGAATTCTTTCAAAAATATTTCATCAGATTGTGATCAGTCAACAGCACGGTTTTACAGCCGGTAGATCCGTTGAGACGAACCTGTTTCTCTTTACAACATTCATAAATTCATCATTTGCTAATAATGCAGAAACTCATGCAATATATACTGACTTCAGTAAAGCCTTTGATAAGGTAAATCACAACATCTTTCTTTCAAAGCTTTCAAGTTTCGGCGTTTCTGGACATTTATTTTCATGAATGAAATCATACCTTACTAACAGAATGCAACAAGTCAAAATCGATGGCTATCTTTCTTCTCTTTTCCATGCATCCTCTGGGGTACCCCAAGGTTCTCACTTGGGCCCCCTTCTATTCAGCTTATTTATCAACGATTTAAGATCGTTGCTCTCGTCAAATTTTTTACTTTTTGCTGATGACTTGAAGTTGTATCGTCAGGTGACGTCAACTCAAGACATACTTATTTTGCAAAATGATCTTAACATCGTTCACGATTGGTGTCAGCTTAATTACATGTCCCTCAACATCGATAAGTGCTGTTGTATAAGATTCAGTAGACGCACCCATAGTGTTCCCTTGCAGTATTACTTAAACAATGTTCGCTTGTCTGAAGTTTCTATCATTAAAGATCTTGGTGTCTATCTAGATACTAGGCTAATGTTCACTGAGCATTTTGAAGTGGTAATTGGCAGGGCTAATAAAATGTTGGGGTTTATTAAGAGAGCTACTAGGGACTTTACAAGTATACGCCCTATCAAAATTCTTTACACATCACTGGTCAGGTCCGTTCTTGAATTTTCATGCATAGTTTGGTCACCTTACTATCAGATCCACATCAATAGGCTTGAGAGTGTTCAACACAAATTTATTAAGTTTGCAAGGTACAAACTTTCTTTGAGTGGTGTGATTCTCAGTGATGACCTGACTATGACTTATTTAGACTTATCTACTCTTGTTCGCAGAAGGGAATATTTTGATGTCTGTTTTGCATTTAAAATTCTTAACTACTACATAAAAAGCCACGAATGTCTTGAATGTTTTAATCTACACATTCAAAGTTATCAGACACGAAGTAAATCTTTACTGCACATTCCTTACTGTCTAACCTGGTACCTACTATTCAGTCCTGTGAATAGAATATCTGCCAATGTAAATAAGTTCTGTGAGGGCCTTGAGTTCTTTGGTTTATCTCTGGATAAATTTAAGACGAAGGCCAGGAGAATTGTTTTAGGTTAGATTTTTTTTTTTTTTAGATTTAAACTCTGTTCAACTTCAAATGTATTTTTCTTATACGTAAATAAATGAATAAATAAAAAAAGGCATTTGGGCGCTAACATAACATTGGTGCTAAATAATCATAGGTCCCCAAAGACACCAAAATGCAAGGCATGAAAGGGCTCTCCACCTTTATTTTGTCTTTTGCTAAAAATATGATTTATCAGGCATTTAATATGAAAAGAGTTAAATTTTCTTTTTCAGATCTATCCACTCCTCACAGTCCTCACCCCAAGAAGTGAAAACACTCCAATTGGCCAATAATACAGAAAATATCCTATTTGTTTCCAACAGCTTTGGACTAAAAATTATTTGGAAAAGGCTCTCCTCTCTCTCGGAAGTGAATTAGTTACAATAATTTATTTATCTACGACCTGCACAATAAGTGACTATTATGTCCTCGATTATGTCACTAATTTTTGCTTATTTGCGTTATATAATGAGCCCTATTACCGCACTAGTGCAGAAATTAATCATAATGCGTTCATGGCGTTCATTATCGCAGTAGTGCGGTAAAAGGTAAAAGGTCATTATTTTTAATATAACTAAACAATCTAGTACATAATAGTTAATTATAATAGACAAACGACAAAAGTCACTTATTGTGCAGGTTGTAGATAAAATGTTGTATATTACACGTAGGGTAAAGCTCATTACAACACTTGTGGTTACCATGACTCGATCTACCACCTCGTCATGTCAATATTCCCAACTCGTTGCTGTAATGAAGCTCATACCGTACTAGTAATATAAATAACTATTATACCTTCTTAACTGCCTCCTTCTTTTTCTCCTTTTTATCATTGTTTAATTCAGATTTCAACTCAAAAATCTCTCCCTTTTTGGTGGTAGTGAAATACTTCGAGTCGGTCATTGTTACTGAAACATATTAAAATTGCACCGGTCAATTAGGGAAATTTGATGAAGATAGGAATTCACAATTTCATGAACAAATAACTAAAAATTACCTGTTTTTTTTTTAAATGTTATGAATAAAAACAGAACAGCCGCCCCTTCACAGAGGTGTTTTGCACTCACACAAGTCACACATCACTCGAGTGAAGTTAGGCAAAGAAATGAAAACATCAATCATCAATTTGACGTAAGTTTCAAAACTGTATTCCTTTTACCCATTGAGCTACTCGGAGCTGCTCAATGTCAAAAGCTTGCACGTTCCTTTTAAAAGTGCGTTAAGCACTCGAGTCGCTCATAGTGCATACCCCTTTCCCCTGATGCACCAAATTTGCCGTGGGTGCAAGAAGCCTCTTTAGGTAATGACGGTAATGTTAATATTAAAAAATAATGGTAAAATCTGAAATGTGTGTTTTTGAGTGACTCCGAGGAGCTCATTCGGTGTAACTCGATGTATAAAAGGAATACAGTAATTAAGGTGCTTACGTTTTGTTTGCTGATTGCTAAACAAATGGCTTTTAAATTGGTTGTCCACAGGTCCACTCCGAAATACTTTATTATGGAAACGAGGAAACCCCCCTAGATTTTAATTATTTATCTCGGTTACTATTTTTTAGGCGCTTTCTTTGTGAACAGTTGTTCCTTAGCTAGAGTACTCTGCACCAACCGTGCACCAAACTACGAACATCGCAAAATGCACGCGAGCGTTGATGAACATATTGGCATACTTTTAAATACAAGAATGAGTTGAATATTTTCAAAGGTTAAATTATTAAATAAAAGTATAACACTATGAAAATTTTGACATTAGATCCGTTAGCTCCACTGCTGAGAGGAGAGAAATCACCTAATTATCTAATTTACTACTAACTTCACCTCACTATTGAGTAGTGTTGTGATGAACGTCAGATTTTTTTATTTGAAATTTGGATAAACTTATGAAAATCCTGGCGATTTGCTGTTCGCACTCGCAATGACAGTGCGAAAATATAATTAATATCGACAACACGTAAATAAACTTTGCGACGTAATTGTGAGTTTTTTTAAAAAATCACAGCCTAATTTTAAAATATCTAGATGACAAAAAGATCTTGACGTTTTGTTTATCAATCGCAAACTTCACTTTCACTGTCAGTCGGTTTCCCAGTTGTGTTATTTTTTTATTATTTTCTGGCTGTCATAACATAATAGTGGTTGTTGAGTAATGTGCGTAGTCCTTATTTGTTTATAGAGAAAAAATGGCAAAAGATTGTGTAAAAATCTAGAAAAATGGGTGCAAAAGATTCGAAACGGACTTGTCTAAGCTACGAAGATGCGGTCAAACGGAGTAAGTAACATTTGAAGGCTTTTTGGAAGAACAACATTCCCTCCTCTATCATTATCATCACATGATTATGTTGCCCAGTGAACATAAATAAATACCATAATTTTATGCATGTGTGTAATGAAATTTAAATGGCCCGGGGCGACGGAAACTATTACATTACATTCCTGTGCCAATAATAATTTATTTTTACTGTAAGTGCATTTAAGATCAAAATCCTGTTACTAGTTTTCCCCCTATTAAGCTAATTGATAATTTTAATTTGTAAATGGTGCTTGTTACTTAAGTGCTACCGATTTTCATTGTCGCACTCTGCAGTGTGCGTATTATTATCGTTTTTGTCACAGTAAAACAATCCTTTTTGCAATATTTCAAAGGCGATTTTTTTGTTTTTTATTTTTTTTGCTTGGCGTTGCATAATACATATTTAAAATATAATAACAATTATTGATATATTGTGTGGCATTTTTTTTTTTGGTTCATCGTTTAACAATTTGGTAATTAGTAGGTCAGAAAACTAATTAGAATAATTGCAGGTCTAAGAGGGTCATGACAAAAAAATGTTTGAATTTAAGTTCATAATAAAAAACCTAGTAAGCAGGGAAATTCTTAAAAGTTTCCACTTTCCAGTGGGATTTTGCTTTAATAAAATAGTCTGCTGTTGTTCTTGAAAACATAGAACATGCTATTTCCGCTTTACTATACCAATACTGAGACTAATACAATTTAAAACAAACAATAAAAAGGCACAATGAAGCCTACAAAAACTTTAAAGAAACTTAAACTGTTACAGCAAGGCAGTTTTATTGTGAACTACAAAAAGATTGTCCATAGGGCTATGAAAAAAGAAAAGGGAGCATATTACTATTACAGATACACGGTATTGGTTACTTTGAATAGGTAACCCTAGTAGTAGATTTTAGAAAATTATTAAATCTTCAGGGCTCGCCAGCAAAAGGGGAAATTTTTTGACTGTACCATACCTACACAATGACATATTAACACAGATAGATACATCTATACCTACATGATTTAAACCCTGATGAGGTAAATAAATATTTTAATGAATGTGCAAATGGTATACAGTATACATTCAGAGATGTAAGCTGCCCAATTATTAATTTTTGGTTCACTGATATAATTATCAGTTTATTCAACACGCCACCTCAAAAATATTTGATCAATTAGACTTAAAGTAGGTAAAAATAATAACTTAAACCTGATATAACATTAATAGGCCTGCTTCCCTTATGTATGTCTTTTCTGGGGAAAATTACAATACCGGTCCAGCATTTGCTGCTCGGGATTAGGAAAAACCCAGAAAAACCTAATCAAACCCTCGATCAAACCATTTAACTTATTTACTAAGCCTAATTCCATTCTAATGTCTTGAAATTTTACTTGTATCAATGGTTTGATAAACGTGTCTGCTAGTTTTTTCTCTGTGGACAAATATTTTATATTAATTACACCTTCGATTACACCTTTATCTGTTCATTGAAAAAATATACTTTGTATTAAGTAATATGATTTGATCTTTTCTAATTTGTTGGAATATTTGCACTTCTTTTTTAGTTTAATTTATTAATTTTTGGTTCACTGATATGAATATCAGTTTATCCAACACTCTGGTCCTGGTAGGGCGTTTCAACCAATACGAAGGCTGGATCACCAGCTGGTGTTTGTTTACAATTTTGGTTTGGATTTGGTTCACTATAGTTTTTGTGATTTGACAAATATCATAGTTAACTCTGTAAAGGTAAAATGAAGGTAGATACTAAACTGCTAATAAACGAAAATTGAAAAAACATTTTTTCCACTACCGTGCGTAAAGTACTCACTTTACGCACTATTCAGAAGATGTAAAATTTCACTTCACGCACTAGTGTGTAGAGTAATTCACTTCACACACTAGTGCGTAAAGTAATGTCAATGACAGATGTCAACATTGTCAATTTGGCATTTTTCTGGTAAATTACTTCACGCACTAGTGTGTAAAGTGAAAATTCTTCACGCACTAGTGTGTAAAGTATTTGTCCAAGTTGATTTTTTTACACATATTTGATTGGTAGTAGAAAAAATTTTGTATGCAATACGTGCGTAAAGCACCTTTTTTCACTCATGTGATTGTCAAAATTCACATTCGTGAAAAAAGGTTCACTTTACACACTTGTTGCATAAATAACTATTTCGCTTTGTGGATGAAACATTGTACATCACACGTGGGTTTAAACATGAATACAAAGCTCGTGTGATTAGAGCTCTAATCTTTCACACTCGTTATTGTAATCATGTTCATAAACACAGTTGCAATGTAAATAACCATTATTTATTTATTCAAAACTTTACAAACACAGGTTGGTTATTACATGTAAAGTACAATTACAATCTAGGTACTTAAAACTAGTGCAAAACAGATTCCAGTAAAAAACTGTCTTTAGGTACTAAAGCAGCGTTTTCCTAGCAACGCACATTTTATGCGGCGTAGAACGTAATACGGCCGACGCAACGCAACATCTAATGCGCTGCGTAAAAGTGTTTTCCTAAGCTTGTCAGTTGCGTCCCGATCATCGCGATAAGTATATCAATAAAGAAATTAGCTTTGGCGAATTTCATTGGTTGAAAACAGTCAGAAAACTAGTTTCAACCAATGAAATTTACTCTGACTGGTTTGTGATTTCTGCAGGAACAGCCCTATTATTACAAGATGAAAATTTGCAAGAAGAGATTGATATAATAGCCACGATTCATGATAGGACTAGAAATTCTGCGAGTCAATTATTTCAAAAAGAAGAAGCTAAGGAGCATTTAGAATACTTATCCATAAACATCTGCTCGACGACGAAGTAAAATTTGAAAAGCATATTTTAGAGTTACAAGGCAGCAATTCTCATTTCTCCTCGATTTTGTGAGAAAAGATTTAAGTAAGAAATCATGTAATCGCGTGCGACATCTTATTTCGCCACCTGGAAAGCTTGGCCTAACATTGAGGTATATAAATATAATACAACAGGAACATTTTCCTCGCCAACACGCAGCGTACAACTGAATAGACTGCTCTCGGAGCAGTCGTTCAGTTGCGTCGACCGTATTACGCTAGCGCAAGTCGTTTTTACGCAGTGTAGGAAAACGCTTCCATTTGATTTTCGTTAGACATGTCCTCAGCGTTTTACGCCGACCGAATTACGTTCTACGTCGCGTAAAATGTGCGTTGCTAGGAAAACGCTGCTTAAGCCTTCTGTTCCACAACAAATAAGATCAGATGACATACCTAAGCAAGATAACTAAACATACACTGTAATGATTATTGATTACCTGTTTTGAGGCAATTTATAAGTAGTTTCAGTGGACTATTGAACATGTCATTGTCATTCTTCAAAATAAATTCATTACAAATTTGTAGCATGTTATTTATAAGAGATAGACTTCTTCTCTAATGTGTAAAGGCATCCTTATTTAGAATTCGCAGATTCACTTTTAGTACTTCAAATTTAATAAATTCCATGAGATTGAACTCTCTGTACTCACTTCAAATTATTTAGAACAGAATAAATAAATATAACAGCATGTGCTCTTCTTCTACTCTCCAATGTTTGGAATCCATAGCCTGCAAGCATTAACCGGTAAGATACCAAACAAGGATAAACAATATTCTGTTTTACATACAAGAATCTTAAGAACCCTTTCTGGATCTTTTCAATTAGGTTGTTGCCTACATACTTCACAGGTGCCTACACCTTGGTAGCATATTCCAAGTATGGGTACAAGACAATTATACAGGGTGTATATTTTAAGTTATACCACTATTGCTATATCCGAAACAGAAAGCCTTGTAGCTTTTAACAAGGTTGATTAAATTAGAAAAAAGTTGCCTTTTTTGATGCTCATTTAGATTTGTTTACAGTGTTGCCAAATTCTTTTTAGTTTATGAAATACAGGGTGATTTCTAAAAAACGCCTAAAATTATCTTATCAATTATTTCGAAAACAATTAATATTTAAGACACAATTTAGATTTGAAAGTTTTACAATTTTTTTTGCTCAACAACATGGCATATTCAAATTTTAAATCTGACGTTTCGTGATCGATCTGCCATCATCAACTTCATTTTTTTAAATACGGACCTGGATTTTTTAAGTCATTTTTGGGAAGCGTTCTTCATTCCCTTTCTGAAAATGACATAAAAAATCCAAATCCGTGTTTAAAAAAATGAAGTTGATGATGGTTGCTCGATCACGAAACGTCGGATTCAAAATTTGGAGACGGCATGTTGCGAAGCGAAAAAAATTATAAAACTTTCAAATTTAAATTGTGTCTTGAATATCTATGTTTCCAAAATAATTGATAAAATAATTTAAGACGTTTTTTAGAAAACACTCAGTATTTCATAAACTGAAAGGAATTTTGCAACACTGTAAACAAGTCTTGACTGGGCATCAAAAAAGGCAACTTTTTTCTAATTTAACCGACCTTGTTTGGCAAATTGCTTAACACGGTTTGATCTCGAGTACTATAAGTCTAAATGATCTGAAATTTTCAGGAATAGACCGATCTCCTATTACTGCAGACTGCACGCGTCGCTTGTAGGCTGCAGGTGAGCGTCCAATGAGAAGCAAGTTTATGACAGGCTTGCGTCATATTCTTATTCAGGGGCCAGTTCAGAATGAATCGTTCCTTCTTTCTTTGTAACGTGTAATTTGACAAAGAGCAAACTAATACTTTACATATTACTTGAACTCACCGCAGTTTCGTTTAAGGTTATGTTAGATTATACTTGACATATTCCTTTGCAATTTCATTGAGCGATGTTGCCGGATGAAACATTTATCAAAATAAAAGTGCAAACGATGTTTATCCACTTTAAAGCTCTTCTTTTGTCTGATTTAAGGCGTTGTGAAACACTTGAGACTATATTACTTCTTTAATGTTATAATGTTTGATTTGTATTGTCTACATTTGTTCTGCAACAATACAATCTGGCTACACTGCAGCCTACGAGTTGC